ATAACCGAGAAAATGTATCAGGGCTTTCACTGTAAAATGTACACATGAAGCTGATACAAAATTCAATTTTAAAAAGGTACTCTGGGGGCTGGCGTTATGGCATGGCGGGTAAAGCTGCCGCCTAGTGTGCTGGCATCCCATATGGGCACTGGTTCGAGTCCCAGCTGCCCCTCTTCCAATCCAGCTCTCTGCTATGGCCTAGAAAAGCAGTAGAAGATGGCCCAAGTCCTTGGGCTCCTGCACCCACATGGGAGACCAGGAAGAAGCTCCTGGCTCCTGGCCTCGGATCGGAGCAGCTCTGGCCATTGCAGCCAACTGGGGAGTAAACTAGCGGATGGAAGACTCTCTCTCTCTCTCTCTCTCTCTCTCTCAGATTTATTTATTTATTTAAAAGAATTACACAGAAAGAGAAGGAGAGACAGAGAGAGATCTTCCATCTGCTGGTTCACTCCCCAGTTGGCCACAACAGCCAGAGCTAAGCCGATCCGAAGCCAGGAACCAGGAGCTTCTTCCAGATCTCCCATGTGGGTGCAGGGGTGTGGGTGCAGGGGCCCCAACGGACGTGCGGCCCATCTTTTTTTTTTTTTTTTTTTTTTTTTTTTTGACAGGCAGAGTGGACAGTGAGAGAGAGAGACAGAGAGAAAGGTCTTCCTTTTGCCGTTGGTTCACCCTCCAATGGCCGCCGCGGCCGGCGCGCTGCGGCCGGCGCACCACGCTGATCCGATGGCAGGAACCAGGAGCCAGGTGCTTTTTCCTGGTCTCCCATGGGGTGCAGGGCCCAAGCACCTGGGCCATCCTTGGGCCATCTTTTACTGCCTTCCCAGGCCATAGCAGAGAGCTGGATCAGAAGTGGAGAAGCTGGGACTCAAACCAGTGCCCATATGGGATGCTGGCACTGCAGGCGGCAGCTTTACCCGCTACACCACAGTGCCAGCCCCAAATAAATACATCTTAAAAAAAATTAAAAAATAAAAAGGCACTCTGATACCTCCATATCCAGCAGGTAAAAAACAAGACTGGACACTTTAAAATGTGCTTCTGCTACAAAATATCCTAACGCATGGGCCAGTGATGTAGTGCATAGGTTAGGCCTCTGCTGGCAACGCCGGCGTCTTATACCGTAGCACTGATTTCAACACCAGCTGCTCCACTTCCCATCCAGCTCTCTGTTAATACACCTGGGAGAGCAGCAGAAGATAGCCCAAGTGCTTGGGCCTCTGCTACCCAAAGTGGGTGACCTGGATAGACCTCCAGGCTCCTGGCCCAACCCTGGCTGCTGAGGTCATTTGGGAAACGAGTCAGCAGATGAAAGAATGCGCTCTCGCTCTCTCTCGCTCTCTCTCTATCTCTTCCTCTCTCTATGCCTTTCTACCTTTTAAATATATAACTAAATCTTTAAACAGAAATAACAAAATATCCTAATGCTGGGCAAATCACGTGTCCTTTTAATTACATTGCTAAGCTCTAAAGAAAATAAAGGAAGCCATAAGAAAAAGAAATTTCAAAACACACACACACACACACACACACACACACACACTGCACTGCGAGTGGTGGGCAAGCCCAGGCGCGCGAGCAGTCCCGCAAACACGCTCAAGTCAGAGAGATGTTCTGGCTGAGGGCCACCCTCAGGAGTAGGACGCAGAGCTGACCGAGTGTCGAAACTGGACTTGAGGGCCTGCCTAAAGGGACGCACTCTCAGAGCCTATCCCCACCGGAGGGGAGTCTGCTTGCCGGTGAAGTGGAGAAGTCAGAATCAGTGTCTGGGACATTCACCACGAGAACCAAGTGTGTGTGCCAAGTGGTGTGCCTGGACCGAGCCTCCTGTGCATCACCGCATTCCTGGGCAAGCAATACTTTCCAATTTTTTTGTGAGCCTGGTTTCCCGTGTATCAGTCTCTCGTGTCTTTCTTACACAGTTAAACCATCCAGTCTCCCATCAATCTGGGCTACGCGCCTGCCCCCTGGGACGGGCACCCCATGTCCCTTCTTGGTGTTTGTTTTTCCTGTTCATGGCTTCCTGACAACGTGTACAAGGGAAGTAAATTGCCAAGGACCTATCCTGTCCAGAAACTTCCACCCCACCCTCAAAGCACACAACTGCAGATGGGACCCCATTTGCGGTCTGAATGTTGGAGGCCTCCTGCCCAGACCTGGTGGATCCCCCACACTGCGTAGCTCTTTCTTATTGTCTCCATGAGCCTCTGAAATATCCCTGGGCATGACTCACTGTGGTTAAACGCCATGCATTTTGCCTAGTTCTTGGTCTTGGAACTTAGAAGCTTGGCCCTTTAATTTCAAGTGATATTTTATAAAACAAAATAATTTCTTCATCATAATGTTCTTCTTGAATCAAACCTCTAAGTTTCCAAAATTTTCTTTTTATCTCTCTTTGTTATGTTTGTTCTACTTTGGAAGAGATTTTTAAAAATTTATCTTCCAAATCTTCTGTTGAATTTTCTTTTAGAAGTTAATTTTTAATTCCAAGCGCTCTCTCTCTTGTATTTGCTGTTCAATCTTAATAATATTCTAACCACATTTCAAACATGTAGTACTTTGATTCCTTCTAAGGGTAATAATTACAGGTGGTTTCTTAAAATAAATAAATAAATAATTTGGGGCCAGTGCTGTGGCACAGTAGGCTAAGCCTCTGCCTGCAGAGCCAGCATCCCATATGGGTGCTGATTTGTGTTCTGGCTGCTCCTCTTCCAATCAAGCTCTCTGCTATGACCTGGAAAAGCAGTAGAAGATGGCTCAAGTCTTTGGGCCCCTGCACCCATGTGGGAGACCTGGAAGAAGCTCCTAGCTCCTGGCTTCAGATTGGCACGCCCCTGGCTTTCTGTGCTGCCATTTGGGGCGTGAACCAGCAAATGGAAGACCTCTCTCTCTGTCTCTTCCTCTCTGTCTGTAATGCTACCTCTCAAATAAATAAATAAAATCTTTTTAAAAGATTTATGTGTGTATGTATGTATTTGAAAAGCAGCGTTAGAGAGAGATTCCCACCACTGGTTCACTCCCCAAATTGTTGCGGCAGCAAGGGCTGGGCCAGGCTGCATCCTCTGGGTCTCCTACGTGGGTATCAAGGGTTCAAGTACTTTGGCCATCTTCTGCTGCTTTCCCAGGAGCATTAGCAAGGAGCTGGATCAGAAGTAGAGCAGCTGGGACTTGAACCAAAATTCAGATGGGATGCTACTGTCACAGGTGGAGGCTTAGCCCCTTGTGCCACAGTACCAGCTCCAGGTAGTTGTTTTTGTTTTTTGTTTTTAACTTTTCTTCAGCTTCCCTTGCTGTTTCTATTTCCTCTGGGTGCTCTTTGTTGCTTGTTTCCTTGAGTCTCTGTCTTCCCCATCGCAGACGTTTGCAGTGTATGACGATCTTTGAAATTCTGTTCAAGAGCAAAGCTAAATATACATATATATATATAAAATTTATAAACATATATTTATATATAGAGAGAGACTGCCTGGTTGTCTGCATCTCCCTCGGGGTATTACTTTTGAAGAATGCTCAAATTTATGTATCCAGAGGTCTTTTCTCTAGGATTCTTCAGTGTCCCTGGGGAAGGACCCAACCTGCAAGGCTGGTCACATAATTTTTGGTCTCCAGTGCAAAAGGAAAATGCGGGGTCCCTTTCCAACAGTCAGGAAAGAGTACAAGTACAAAAAGTTAACTTTCAAATTCCATATTATTTACATCATGTAATAGAAATAATCGGAGTCATGGCATAGTGGGTAAAGCCACACCTGCAGTGCCAGCATCCCATATGGGCACTGGTTCAAGTCCTGGCTGCTCCACTTCGATCCAGCTCTCTGCTATGGCCTGGGAAAGCAGTGGAAGATGGCCCAAGTCTTTGGGCCCCTGTACCCATATAGGAGACCCTGAAGAAACTTCAGGCTCCTGGCTTTGGATCAGCCCAACTCTGGCAATTGTGGCCATTTGGGGATTGAACCATTGATGGAAAACCTCTCTCTCTCTCTCTCTCTCTCTGCCTCTGTAACTCTGCCTTTCAAATAAATAAATAAATCTTTTTTTTTAAAGAAAAAGAAGTAATTATGATATATATCTTTAGAACTACAAAAATTATTTTAGTGTCATAATTTTAAGTTACACAATAAATTATAATACTTTAGTAATGTCATTTCATGATTGACAGCTTTTTCAGGCTTTCTTTTCCTGAAAATTCACAACAATTTATATTCTTGGCAACTTCAATTTGAACCTATTCAATTGAGCATAAGGCCCTTCATTCTTAGCAAACTCAAGATCTCAAATGATTTCTTATGATTTTAAATTTTAAGGAGAAAACAATCCAGGCCAAAAGACCATAAACAATGACAAAGAGATGGGAGAACAGGGAGGATCAGAACAGAAGAATGCAGCTCAGCCAGGTAAGACCCACGGCAGGAAGAATGTCAAGGCCAAGCACAATAAACAAAGACCAAAGGCAGGGAGCAGAAGCTACGGCTGGATAAAAAGGGGCAGCCACCAGAGACCCAGAATTCTCAGACAGCCGTTGTCTGAGACCCAGATTCAGGTGGTCAGAGTCACACCTAACGGAGAAGGTACAGAGACAGTGCCTGGCTGGGAGCTGTGTGCTGAGCAGTGACCTGAACTCCAGGAGAGTGCTGGGACCCCCATTCCAGAATGACTAGGAGGTGAAGAGTGCAGGAAGTGAATGCTGAGAAGATTCTAGAAGCTGACTGTGAGAGGCAGAAACGTGGCGATGTGGGGAACCTAGATACAGGCAGGGGCCGGGAGGCCTCGTCGAGTCCCTCCTCTTTACCGATGAGGAAGCCGAGCCCCAGGAAGCTTAACAGACCCCCTTACTGCTGTGGTGGGCGAGGGAAGCCAATCAGCATGGAGCGGTCGGCATCACGGATAAGGATCAGAGGCGCCTCCCTGTCTCCAGAGAAGATTCCACGCAGCACCTCTGTTCTCACTTAGGACCTGGCCTCCTCCCACGGGTACCGGGTACCCTGGGCCCATGGCCTTGAACTTACTTTCAACGGATCTTCTAGATGGTGAAGACTAGGATTTAGGTCCACTGGCTGCAGAACACACGCGATGGTTGGTTGGGGCAAGGGAAAGAGAGATTTGTCTAGTACACCTTTTTATCCCTACAGGAATTTTGTACTCCCGAAAGCTGGAAGACAGGAAGGGTTACTCCTACTACGTGTGAAATGCATCCCTATAATAATCTTGATACTGCCCCACCTGTCCTGTTCCACAGATAACAAATAACCCCAAGGTAACTACCTACAAAAATGGACCCAGTAAGGTGAAGACGTTCATTAAAAATAAAATCATCCAATTATGGCTAATTCGGAATGAGCTGGCAAACATCATTTTGCTGTGAGTAGCCAAGTTCACGGAGGAACACCCTCGTGCTGTGTATATAAGGGCGAGCGGCGCCGGCCAGTGCATGCGCCACACACCTGCTCCCCAGTCTGCACGCCATGTCCCTGCGCTTCTCTGCAGCATCCAGACGCCTCGGCTCCTGCGGGGCTGCCGGCTCAGCGAGGCTGACCGGCGCGGGAAATGCGTGCGGTGTGCCCGGCATTGGAAGCGGCTTCTCCACGGGAGGCTATGGCGGAGGACTGGGTGGGGGAAGCGCTTCTTGCGTGGCTTACACGGGCAGTGAAAATGGCCTCCTCTCGGGCAACGGGAAGGTGACCATGCAGAACCTCAACGACCGCCTGGCCTCCTACCTGGACAACGTGCGCGCCCTGGAGGAGGCCAACGCCGAGCTGGAGCAGAAGATCAAGGCCTGGTATGAGCAGTACGGGCCTGGCTCGTGCCGTGGCCTGGATCACGACTACAGCAGGTACTTCTCAATCATCGAGGACCTCGGGAACCAGGTGAGAAGCGTGATGCCCTGCGTGTGGGCGCCTGAGTGCGGGGATGTAGCCACAGGCATGCACACAAACATGGGAAATATGTCATATGGAAACGGATTTCAGAAATGGGTGATATCTGAAACAAAAAATCTTTGCACTAAAATAAGCATATCTTCGAATTCCTTTTTGAAGTCTTCTCGGAAAAGCTATCACAAACTATAGGACCTGGCTCTCAGCTTCTAAATCTTGGTAATTCATTTTTGAAAGTAAAAAGAATGTCTATTAAAATGTTCCTCTTTGGCTATGGACCACCCCATCATGTGGTGTTAGGGTGCATGTATGCTTTTACTAATATGAAAATATCCAAACCCATCCATGTGTCCAACTATGTATTTATAAGTTTTCCCATAGAAAGAGTTCTTATGAATGGGGTGGGGATTAGAAGAGGCCCTGACACTTACTATTTTTCAAAGGAGTCGTCTTGTTACTAGAGACAAATGCTGGGAGTATTACCGTCATTTGCTGGGTATCTTTAGTTCAAGGAAATCTGGCATTTTTAAACGTCTCCTCGCTCTTGCCTAACTCTCCACTTACCAGATCATTTCTGCAACTGCAAGCAACGCCAACGTGCTCCTACAAAACGACAACGCGAGACTCACTGCCGACGACTTCCGACTGAAGTGAGTGGACGGGGAGAAGACAAAAAAGCTATCAACGCATTGCCCTCTTTTCTTTTTTAAAAGATTTGTTTGTTTCTTTGAAAGGCAGAGTAACAGAGAGAGAGAGAAAGAGAGAGCCATCTTCCGTCCACTGGTTTGTCATTCCAAATGCCCACAACAGCCAGGCTGGCCCAGGCCAAAGCCAGATGCCATTAACTCCACCTGCTTCTCCCACATGAGTGGCAAGTACTTGGGTTCAAGTACTTAAGCCATCATCTGCTGCCTCCCAGGATGCAGTAGCAGGAAGCTGGATCAGAAGCAGAGTAGCTGGGACTTGAACCAGGCCGGCCAATATGGGATGCAGGCATCTCAACGGGCGGCTTGCCCATCGGTGCCTCAGCCACCAACCCCTCTTTTATTTTCCATCCTCTGCTTGAGATGGGCTCCATTCTTTGCATTTGTTTATTCATTAATTGTTCTAAACCACTTGCGTATTTAGAATAACTGTTTTACTTGGGAAATTCGAGGGCTAACACAATGAATGCTGAACTGGTATGAAAGAGCATTTTCAGTATTTCCATTCTCTTGCTTCAAAGAAGTGTACTTCTTGCATTCTGTGGGTGATGGAGCTGAGGTCTGAACAGTTTTATCTCGGAGTTTAGTTTGCGGGGTGGACGTGTGCTTGGCTGTTGACACACTGCTTGGGATGCCTGCATCTCATTAGAGTGCCTGGGTTTGAGATCGGCTCTGCTCCCAATTCCAGCTTCCTGCTAATGAGCACCCTGGGAGGCAGCAGGCAATGACTCAAGTAGTTGGGTCCCTCCACCCATACGGGAAACCAAGATAGACTTCCCAGCTCCTGGCATTGGCCTGGTCTAAGCCTGACTGCTGCAGGCATTGAGGGATTGAACCCACGAGTGGAAGAATTCCCCTGTACCTCCCCTTCAAATAAATAAATAATTAATTTTTTTAGCATAAAGCCTAATTTGAGTTTCATGATCTCAAAGGGATGTGACATGAGATCAAATGACAGAGGAGGGAATTTTCAAATGCTTTCCAAAGGTATGAGAATGAGCTGGCCCTGCACCAGAGCGTGGAGGCCGACATCAACGGGCTGCGCAGGGTGCTGGACGAGCTGACCCTGTGCCGGACAGACCTGGAGATACAGCTGGAAACCCTGAGCGAGGAGCTGGCCTACCTGAAGAAGAACCACGAGGAGGTAGGTGTGCTGCCCCCTGGGCTTCCGCCATCCACCTCTGCCCAGGCTTCACCGTGAACGTCAGGCACTACAAGGCTCCTATTGAGTTGATGTGCTAGGAGGGGCTTGTCCACTTCTCCATGGGGCTTGCCTCTCTGCAGAGACAGATCCCACGGCCGGCTGCTATGAGTTTCTAATCCTAGGTATCCTGTCCAGCTGGCTCCTCTAAAAATATTCATATCCTAGCATGTTTTGTTCTTCATTTGGGTATTGGTTATGCGTGTGATCAGAGGACAAAAATACTCATGTCTCTGTGCACTTATGTGCCTTTCCTGGCATGTATACTGTATTTCAATTCAACGTTTAAAATATATGTGTGCATCTACATATATATATATATATATATATATATTGAGCCCGCATTCGGACCCTCGCTCTGTAACACATCCCCGCAGGAGATGAAGGCGCTGCAGTGCGCGGCCGGCGGCAACGTGAACGTGGAGATGAACGCGGCGCCCGGCGTGGACCTCACGCTGATGCTGAACAACATGCGCGCCGAGTACGAAGCCCTGGCTGAGAACAACCGCAGGGACGCCGAGGCCTGGTTCAACGAGAAGGTGTGTGGCTCCCGCGGGGGTGCGCGAACCCGGGGGAGTCCTGGTCGCAGACGCGAGCCGCGCGCTCACGGACTCCCCCCTTGCAGAGCGCGTCCCTGCAGCAGCAGATCTCAGAGGACGTGGGCGCCACCACCTCCGCCCGCAACGAGCTGACCGAGATGAAGCGCACGCTGCAAACCCTGGAGATCGAGCTGCAGTCCCTCCTGGCCACGGTGAGCAGGAAGCACCACACAGATTTTCAGAAACTGAGGGAGGGGAGAATAAAGATTTTGTTTCCCAAAAATATTACTTAGTTTAGGTTTTGTCCATTCATCACTGTATCGACAGAAGACACTAAGAATCCTCTTTGCCAGAAAATTATACTACATGTTCATAATTATGTATTACAAATTAGCAAACACGAGTATTTTGAGGTATTTGCGGAAGAAAATAGTTGCTACCCTGCATCTTCTCTCCCTTGCCAAAAGATCCAAAACCACTGTCAATGGAGAACAAAAACTCCTTCCGGCCCCTCACGGCTTCTTCCAGCATTCCTTTTGGCTGCTTAATTAAGAGCACTTAGCCAGTGTCTACCTGGTATAAACAAGAAGCAGAGGTGTGAAGCTAAGTGTGTCTAATGATAATAATAACCTTCTTCATGAAGGGTTTGCCCAGTACTTTCACCCACGTGCTCGTTCACGGTCATCCCGGGGCATGGGCGGGGCAGACTTTAAAACCCATGTCATTATTTCCAAAAGAAGAATCCGAGATTCAAAGAAAGCTCAAAGCAGTTCCCACAGTCCCACAGTTGCATACCGAGGAACCAGGATTTCTCTCCCAGTTTTCCAACTCCCACATCTTAATCTTTCCCGCAATGGCTGGAAAACATCCAGAGTTGATCCACAGAAGAGGTTGTGAGCATATCTAAAATCAGGACTTTGCAGAAAAACCCTTGAAGGTGAAGGGTAAGAGACTCACCTCCATTGTGTAAAGTTTCAGCAAACGTTCTCCCTGGGGGTCTGTATCACAAGCCAGGGCATCCAACTAAAGCCTGCAAAGGTCATTATTTTGCTTGGCTCATCCTACTTCTGCAAAGTTTATACAGTTGGCTGAGGATTGTTTTTTCATGGAAGAGAGAGAGTGTGCATGAGAGAAGGCTGCACCTGACTAGAAATGAGGTGGCAGAGAGCACGGGAGGGGGTTATTCCTAGGGAGAATGGCCAGTTGTGTCAGACTGTACACGCACGGGCTGCTTTGGTGCAGGGAGCAGCATCTGTAGACTGTGCCCTGGGAAGTGACAGGTTCATCTTTCTAACACACCTGGGCATGTGGGTAACGTTCATCACCAACACAAATAGAAAAATAATGTGACATCTAACAAAGGCAGTAATAGACAATGACCGAAGGGACTCTGTGGGGCAAATGTGATGATTTGCATTATGTAAGGATGACACTCATTTATCTCTTGAGTGCGTGGGCTTATTCTGCCACAGTGCTGTGACTTTTTCTAACAAACGATGTCTTTACCAAACCACAGAAACACTCCCTGGAGTGCTCCCTGACGGAGACCGAGGGCAACTACTGCACACAGCTCGCGCACATCCAGGCCCAGATCGGGGCCCTGGAGGAGCAGCTGCACCAGGTCAGAACCGAGACCGAGGGCCAGAAACTCGAGTACGAGCAGCTGCTGGACATCAAGGTCCACCTGGAGAAGGAGATCGAGACCTACTGCCGCCTGATCGATGGCGAGGAGGGGTAAGCACTGCTTCTACCGAGAAAACAACCGGCTGTAAGGTTATCGAAATCAAGTATAAGTTCAGTTGCTTAACGGGTTCTGTTGTATAAAATGTAGCTTTTGCATTTCCTCAACAATACAAAGGGAAATAATTAATGCGTGCTGTCTGTATTTTCACAGTTCTTGTTCTAAAGCAAAAGGTTACAGAGAACCAGGAACTCAGATAAAAGGTGAGCAAAAGCAGTGGGAAGCACTAAAGGTTTATTTGTATGCGTCTCACAAGATGGATTCTTTCTCATTTACGAATTTGAGAAATTCTAACGGTGCGTGTGTGTCGTTGTAGACTCGCTTATAAGCAGCATTGTTAAGACTGTTGTGGAAGAAATAGACCCTCGTGGCAAAGTTCTCTCATCCAGAGTCCACACCGTGGAAGAGAAGTCCGCCAAAGCCAGCAACAAGAGCGAACAGCGGGTGCCTTCCTGAACGGCAGCTCCCGGAAAGGAATGGCCCCTGACGTAGAACACCAAAGGGAAACTAGACTCCTAATAAGGGTCCTTTTATTTTTCTGCTCTTCTTCCAATGAATTGAGACAAGCTGTTTTAGACTAGTGATGCTTCTTTGACTTTCTCTCTGCTGGTATTTCAATAAAACTTCTCCTGTTGCAAGTCATCCTCCCTGGTTCTGATCCATCTTTGCATTGAGAGGTATTCAAATTTGTATTTATTCAAGATGCAGAGAGCCAAAGACGGAGACAGATAAAAAGAGAGGGCACTCATCCACTGGTTCACTCCCAAAATGCCCGCAATGGTTAGTGCTGAACTGGCCAAAGCTTGGAGCTAGGAACTCAGTCTGGGTCTCCCATGCAGGTGGCAGGAGCCCAACTACTTGAGCCATCACTGCCACCCCCTTAGGTGCACATTAGCAGGAAGTTGGAGTTGGCAGCCAGAGCCGGGCATCAAACCCCATCAGTGTGTATAGGGTGTAGACGCCTTCACCAGTGTCTTAACCTCAAGCCTAAATGCCTGCTCCCATCTTTGCACTTTAAATATACCCTCCAGTGTCCTTAATGTCTCCCATTGAATTCAGTGGTCTTCACCAGTAGGGAGTAAGTTCAGCATGGAAATTAATTAGAGTCTTTTTCACATCTGTAAAATTTTATCTCCCTTCCATCCTTCAGTAAATGTTTATTGATCACACGTTAAATGCTAGATAATGAAAACAGAAAAAGTTAATAAAATCAACCCCCAAGTTCAACATGCTCATAGGAATAGGATGAGGAATTGAAGAGCCAGTGACATCCTGAAGATCAAGGAGAGGCTATTAATGGTGAGAGTGTGGGGACCAGGGCGAGAGGATTCCCAAGGTGTCTGACTCATCATTTCGCCGCGAAGGCGGGGATTCACAAGCACCCTCCTGGAGTTTCACCATCCAAGAAGGCAGAGCAAGGTGTCTCTCAAGTCCAACATGACTTTCAGTGACCTGATATTTCTCTAACCTTTGGCTCAAGGCTTCAGGGGGGTATACACTCAGCAGAAAATCCTCCAGAGGCTTAGTTGAAGATGACACTGAGTTTGGCTCTCACACACCAACCCCACGTAACAGACACAGCCCGCTCTTCTCTGATCCAGTACCATGTTCCTGCACTCTGTGGGGCTGGCTCATGAGGGCTACATCACAGCCACCTTTAAGCTATCTTCCTCTTGTCCTTCCCACGTGCATGAACCTATGGCAAATGCTTAACTTTCTAATTCCGTGGGCCTCTCAACTTATACCCCGATATCAAAACCTGGAAGAGAAAACATCCTCCCATACGATTCCTTAATCAAAAGCACTTACTGTCTTTGGAAGACAATCGAGCAGTTTCTTCCAGAGCTAAGCATTCTCTTCCCAAATGAGAACTTCACCCAGAAGTGTTAAAAGTGTATTTTGGGTTCAGTTTTATGTCCATGCAAAAACTTGCCAGTGCTGTGGCATAGAGGGCATTGCCACCGCCTGCAGTGCCAGCATCCATATGGGCACCAGTTTGAATCCCAGCTGCTCCACTTCCAATCTAGCTCTCTGCTATGGCCTGGGAAGGCAGTAAAAGATGGCCCAAGGCCTTGGGCCCCTGCACCCACATGGGAGACCTGGAAGAAGCTCCTGGCTCCTGGCTTCAGATTAGTCTAGATCCAGGCATTGTGGCCATTTGAGGAGTGAACCAGCAAATGGAAGATTTTCTTTCTCTCTCTCTTTTTATCTCCCTCTCCTTCTGCCTCTCTTTAATGCTGCCTTTCAAATAAATAATAAATTAAAAAAACTTGCACAGAAATACATATAGCAGCTTTCTTCCTAGGTGCCCATATTTGAAAGCCCCCAAGATGTCCTTGAGTAGGTGAATGGACAAACAGACTGCAGTAAGCTGGAGGGTGGAAATTTGCTATCAAGTCATGAAAAGCCTCATGTAAGGAAACTTAGATGTGTATCACTAAGAGAAAGAAGTCCATCTGAGTAGGCTTTATCCTCTACGACTCCACCTGCAAGGTGTTCCAGAAAGGGGAGACCACGGAGACATAACGAGATCCGTGCTCACCATTGGGGTGGAGATGAGTTAGATGGAGCCCTGAGGATTTTCAGGGCAGTGAAACTATTCCATATGACACCATGAGGGCAGGTGCCCGGCATTACGCACCTGTCTGTTCACAGAATGTACAACACCGAGACGCAGTTCTTACATAAGTCATGGACTTCGGGTGAAAATGATGTGCCAGGGTAGGCTCATCCATCTTAACAAGCGCACTGCTCTGATGAGAGAGGCAGACAGCACGGCAGGCTGTGCAGATGGCAAGTGGGCAGAAGTAGATGGGAAATCTCTATTTGTCTCTCAGTGTTGCTGTGAACCTAACACTACTCTAAAAAATTAAATCTACAATTGTTCAAAAATTGTTAAATAGCTCCAGTTTATCAGTACTTGAGATGCCCAACACCAAGGCACCACAACTTCCAGGAAAGAATCTGTAACATTTGACAACCTGCACCTGCTGTGTGCCAGACCTTGCTGTGAGCAGCATTTAACTCCCACAACAACCCCGTGGGGTAGGGACTACATCATTATTTTGCAGAGATGGAAACTGAGGCAGAGAACAGGTGAGCACTTTGTCCAAGGTCACATGGCCCGTGACTGGAGGTGCTGGAATGTCAGCCCAGGCAGCCTGGCTCAGAGTCTGTGTGCTTAACCACGGCAATCCCATGCTGGTGAGAACCCTGTCCCATCACCTTCTGGCAAGAGAAGGGTTAAAGAGACCACATGCGTGCTAACTCCAGTTGCTCTGGGATACACAGAGCCCTATTTAGAATGTCACAAACACAGAGAGGAATTACCTGGGACAAGGAAAGCATGCAACCGGAATCAGTTCCCAGATACACTAGAAGCCCAGAGGCAACATAAACCTCCTTTATGTTCAGGAAAAACCTTCTGTGCTCCGCTAAAAGAAATGTAGAATGCGAATTTTAAACAAGAGCATATTTGCAACTAAACAAAAAATTGGGGGAGGGGGAATTAGCATATGAGTATTAGAATTAAATCTTGTGATTCAAAAACTTATTGCAAAATAAGGAGACATCAACACTGCACAACATGAAGTTCAATTCAATTTTTTATTTTTACCTTTTAAAGATTATTTATTTTAAAGTCAGAGTTAGAGAGAGATCTTCCAACTGCCAATTCACTGCCCAGATGGCCACAATGGCTGGGGCCAGGCTGGGTGGAAGCCAGGAGCCAGGAGCTTCTTCTGGGTCTCCCAAGTGGGTTCAGGGGCCCAAGGACTTGGACCACCCTCCACTGCTTTCCCAGATGCATTAGCAGGGAACCAGAATGAAAGTGGAGCAGTCAGGACTCGAACCAGTGCCCATCTGGGATGCCAGCATTGCAGATGGCAGCTTAACCCACGGCACCACAGTGCCCGCCCCAATTCAGTTGTTTTAAATACCCTTGATGTGCATATTATACAACATACTAATACCTCAAAGATCTTCAAAAAATGAAAAAAATAAATGATATATTATTGAATGCCAATTTATACCATGACTAAAATGATCAGTCTTGGGGAAGACATACATAGATAGAAGCAGTAAGAGAGTTTGTTGGGGCCAGCTTTGTGGTCTAGTGAGCTAAGCAGCTACCTACAACACCAGCATCCCATACAGGTGCCAGTTTGTGTCTTGACCACTCCTCTTAAGATCCAGCTCTCTGCTGTGGCCTGAGAAAGCAATGGAAAATGGCCCAAGTACTTGGGCTCCTGTACCCACAAGGGAGACCTGGAAGAAGCTCCTGGCTCCTGGCTTCAGCCATGGCGTTTCGGCCATTTGGAGGAATGGACCAGCAGATGGAAGTTCTTTCTCTCTCTCTCTCTCTCTCTTTCTCTCAATCTCTCTCAATCTCTCTCTCCCTCTGTGTGTGTGTGTGTGTGTGTATCTTCCTCTCTCTGTAACTCAGTCCTTCTAATAAATAAATAAATAAATAAATAACTCTTTAAAAAAAAGAGAGAGAGTTTGTTAAATATAGGCCCCACTTCCAGAAAGGACCAAAGCACACCTAAACATTTATGCTAAATATTAGGCTAGGAGAAATCTGTGATTAAAAGAATCCGATAGATCCGTAAGTAGGTGGCGGCATTTCACGGAGACGCGCATCATACATTCCAGTCTTCCTCTGCTGCAGAAATGCTCTATGATCTGCCTTGTTACTTAGCTTCAGAGCCAACTCACGTCTGAAATAATATATGCTTAACTTATTTCACACAAGATTATAAGTTAATTACTATTTATAAGCTATCTAGAGATAAACAGATTAGGTTAATAACACTTTGCAGCTTCATAAAATCTTTGCTCTGAGAAGCTCAAGGCTTGTTGCCTGTTGCACTGGCAGTGTGCTCTGTCTGCTGTGTTCTGTTCGTGGGAAACATGGACAAAAGAGTAAAACTTGGATCAGGTCACAGCACCACCAGTATGAAGTTTCTGCCTCTTAACTTACTGTTCTAAACAGGAGCTGATGGTCCAACTTACACTTTTGTATTTATTATTTCTAAGCAGTTTTGGTCAAAACAATTCATGCATTCCAACTCATCAAGTATTCCATAGCTTTTCATAACAATAATATTGGGTGTTTCCCAAAGTATTTGATATCCACAGCATTGAAAAATCTCATGGAGATACATTTGACTCAGTGGTGAAGCCACTGTGAGGATACCACATTACTCATTGGAGTGTGATGCTCAGCTCTAGCTTCCAACTCCAGCTTTCTGTCGGTGCAGACCCTGGGGATGGCAGTGATGGCTCAAGCAACTGGACTTGTGCTGCCCACATGGAAGACTTGGATTGCTTTGTCGGCCCCAGCTTCAACTTTGGGCCATTGCAAGCATTCAGAGAGTGAACTAATGAAAGGGAGTGCTCTCTCTCAAGCGCGCTCTCTCTCTCTCTCTCTGCCTCTTGAATAAGTAAATTAAAAAAAATTTTTAAATCTCATTCAGAAAAGTGGGTACTGTTTCAAAACCAACCAGATAATCAGTTAACCAATCGATTTGTTCCATTTTAAGTGATAAAGACTTGACCCTATCTAACATGGCCACGTTATTATAATAATTCAAATAATTGATACTTACAAAATGTTTGTGCCGTTCAGACCGTCTTACAGC